CTGTACATTTTAATTATTCTTTATAGTTGCAGAGGTGGATATTATGCCCTCAATTTTACAGATCATAAAGCAGGCTCAGAGTTTCAGCTACTTGCCCAAGCACACATAGTAAATGGAGCATATACTGCAAGATCAAGGGTAAGGAAACAAATAGAGCCAAAGGGGCCAGGACAGAGGTGAAATGAGGCAGCAGGAAGTGACTTCTGTGTGTGTGGCCTTCATCCCTGCTGGATGGAGAGAATGCAGAGTATGGTCACCTCCCATAGGTACAGCTCTCAGCTTTGACCAGGCCTTAGGTTAATGGAGTTTTAGAAACTTTGGAACTAATATTTAAAGCAAGGAGGCTCTTTTTTTTTTCTCTTGGGGGGTGGAGGTTGTGGGGGAAGTTGGTTTGCTTCTTTGATGGGTGGCAGAATGAACCCAGGGCCTTCCTTACACACGCCCTGGCCCTATGTAGAAGATAGTTGGATTTTGCTTATATTCCAGTGCCACGAAGTGCAAGTATACAAACCAAGATGGTGGCCTATGACTCTTCCAGGTATGTGGTATAGCCTTGTGGGACCATGGTCATATGTGCATGCATGCAGTGGGCTGTGGCAAAATTGTTTTTAAGTGACACATGATTGACTGTCCAGGAAAAGGGAAGACTATGGAACCATTACCTGGGCCCTCCACTATGACTAGGCTGCAGGAAGGACTTTCAATTGTCTGGGAGATGGATGGACAGATTTCCTTATGCCCTGATGCTTTTACATAGTGATTTGATAGATTCATTCATTGTTTTTTAAATATTAATGAACATGTATAGACTATGTGAGACTGGAGGCTAAAAAGAAAGCATTCAAGGAGCTTGCCTTCATGAGTGCATTGTCTAGTAGGGAAGAAAGAAGGCTGAAGGTTACCATACAGTGCATCTGTTGGATCATTATATATTGAGGAAAGAGGGTGGAGCACGTGAGAAACCAATGGATGAATGGAAGCTTTAACATTTACCCAAAGGAACATTTTGTGTCAGGCATTGTCTGTCACAATAAGTAGGGACATGCATTCTTCCCCAAAGGCTGTTGTCTGTTCATAGCTATAATATATATATAATAAAATCCATTAATATATTTAATTTGCTCGAGCGGGCCCAGTAACGTCTCCATTGTGAGACTTGTTGTTACTGTGTTTGGCATATCGAATACATCACGGGTATCTTGCCAGGCTTTGCCGTGCGGGCGAAATACTCTCAGTAGCTTGCCAGGCTCTCCAAGAGGGGCGGAGGAATCAAACCCGGCTCGGCCGGGCCAGCAGCTTACAAGGCAAACAGCCTACCGCTGTGCTATATTTAATTAATAAAATCCATATATATATATATAATCCATTTCCAACTGTACTCAGGGATCAGTCCTGGTGGGGCTCAGGGGACTGTATGCGATGTTGGAGATGGAACCCGGGCTGTCTGGTGCAAAGCAAGTACTGTGCTCCCTGTACTATCTCTCCAGCCCTCTATAGCTATATCTCTTAAGACCATTTGAGCTCAGGGGCCAGAGTGATAGTATAATGCGTAGAGTGCTTGCCTTGCATGCTGGTGGACCTGGATTTGATTCTTGACACTCATATAGTCCCCTGAGCCTGCCAGGAGTGATCCCTGAGTGCAGAGCCAGGAGTAAACCCTGAGCACTGCCAGGTGAGGCTCCAAAACAAAAACAAAAAAATCCAAACAAATAATTTGAATTCCAGTTGATATGCAATAAAAGGAATTTAATAACAGATAATTTGAAAAACTTTTATGACTCATAACTCATTCCCACAAATAAGATGCCAAACATACCTTGTGCTTCCCAAAGTATCCTTATGCCTCTTTGTCTTCTCAATCTCTTGACCCATAGCCCCCCATATTCAGGCAGCACTGATCTGCGTTCTGTTACAATAGTTTGCATTTTCTAGAAATGGAATCATACAATACTCCTTTTTCTGTGAAGCTCCTTTCAGTCAACTTAATTAATTGTGATTCATCGGTGTTGTGTACATATCGATAGTTCATTTCTTTGTGTTGCTGGGTAGTGTTCCATTGTATAGATATGCCACAGTTTGTTTATCTGTTTGTGTATGGCTGAAATTTGGTTTGTGTCCTAGTTTTGGCTCATTCAAATAGAGCTTCCATGAACCATGAGCTTTTGTATACATCTCTTTCTGTGGGCATATGCTTTCCTTTCTCCAAATACTAAATATCCTATAAGCCCTGTAGTTGGTGTATATATTTAGCTCACGTTGTGAGGGAGTAAACTCTGCCAATTTTAAGCGCCACTTAGTGCCAGGAATCAAACCCAGGTCTTGCAGAATCAGAGCTTGTAGTCTATCACTTATCCTACATCCTGTTTAACATTTTTGGAACCATCAAACTGTTTTTCCAGAGTGGCTATGACATTTCATAATCACACCAGTTGAGAATCAGAGTTTGGTTCCTTTTCATCCTCACCATATTTAAATATTTGTAACCACTGTAATAAGTGTGCAGTGTCATTTTGTTTGTATTCCCTACCTCATTAATGATATTGAGCATCTTTGTATATGCATTTTTGTCACCCCTCTACCTCCTCTTTTGATGCTTATCTGTAAAATGATGATAACATCTACCTTGCAGAATTATTATGATAACAAAAGTATAAACATTTACAATATGCTAGAATAGTGCCTGCCAAATAATGGGTGCTATATAATTTTTTGGTTTTTTTTTTGTAAGGGCCACACCTGATGGTGTTTGGGGCCTACTCCCAAGGGCCACTTTCAGCGGTGCTCAGGGGACCATGCTGTGCCAGTGGGAAACATGTGCCTTCTGTATGCAAAGTATATACACTCAGACTAACTTTTTTCTTATGCTCATTTAAGATCATGGAAGATAAAAACAAACAAACAAAATAAACTTATTTTAGGACATAAGTCAACCAATGCTGGTTTGCAGATGTATGGGATATTGTGTTCTTTTCCCCAATTCTGGCTGTTCTTAGATATACATGAACTTTATAAACCAGTGGGATTCTCACCAAATTCTACCTGAAGACCTGGGCCAGCCTCCCTTTAGCATTTCACACCTGCCCACCTCTAACCAGGAATTGCTCAGGCTGATTGCATCTCTCAGCTCCGGAGAGGCTGATGAGATCTGGCTGTGATGTCGCAGTTAGACAACTCCCAGGGTCAGGGATTCAAGTTTTTGTGTTCTGTGTAAGCATTACTAACTCCAGATGCTTCCAGCATGACACCTAATGGGGGGGACGGGTGCATCTGCTGGAATGGTGCCTGCTTGAGATGGAGAGACAGTACAGTAGGTAAGGCATGCCTTGCAAAACCTGGCCTGAGTTCCATCCTGACATTCCATATGGTCCCCTGAGCAAGGCCAGGAGTGAACATGACTGGTTGTGACCCAGAAAGAGAGACTGAAACAGAAAGAGACAGAGAGAGAGAGAGAGAGAGAGAAAGAGACAGAGAAAGATGGCCACTCCTGTCAGAAAAACACTCCAGCAGATGGGTCTCTGGGATCTGACATCTCCTTTTTCTGACCACCAGAATACTGAACTGCAAGCAAGAATGGAGCTGATTTTTCTGCCTCAGCCCCTAAGTCAGCACCTAAACAAGTCCTGGTTTCTTTTTTCATTAGCTTTATTGTGGGTAGGAGAGGCATTAAGCCCAATCCTTTTGGAACATGCTTTTAAAACTGAGAAAGGACTCAAAGGTGTCTGAGTCTCAGAAATTTCTACCTAGGAGATCTCTTGGTTCCAGATTTAAAAGGCATCTTTTCCTGATTGAGCAGCCATTTGCTTTGCCCAAGTCCACAGCATTGTTGCACAACAAACAAGAGATAAGTTTGCTACAAGTAAAATAAAAATTTTCATTTAAATGTTAGCACATTGGAATACAGGGTCTGGTTTAAGCATAGGATTTTTATATGTCCTGAGCCTGGCAGCTGTGTTTTCCCTCTTTCCACTAAATGCTGCAGTTTCTGATTTAGGGAGTTATGCAAAACACACTACCACTAAAGCTTAAGTGTGTGTGTAGGGGGGGATGTGGGGGGGAACGGGGGCGGTAGAATCCCCTGTGCAGTAGTATTGGCTGCGGATGCACCTCCCCCTAGTTTTTGTGAAGGTGTAGGGGAGAGGAGTGGAGAGGGTATTGAAACCGATCCAGCTATGGGAGAGCAAGCAAGGAGTTTCCAGCCTTAGTTCCAGGACCATCCTTTTTCTTAAAAAAAAAAAAAAAAAAAAAAAAAAAAAAAAAAAAAACCTAAGAATTGAGTGAAAAACATGCAGATGTCACGTTTGCAGGGAGCATTTAATGATCGTTAAATACACAACACAGAGACGTTTTGTGTTTATTCACTTAGCAACTACACTGCAAAACCACGCACAACTCACAGCCCAGCCAGCCCTCCAAAATACTTGACTATTGTGATGCTTTTAAAATTTGCAGCTTTGCAGAGAGGTGCCTACTGAGGTCCTTTTCTGGATTTGCATATTTGTGTAGAAGAACACAAACCGTTTATGTGGGATTTTCGCCGGTTTTTAACGCTAAAAAAATGCCCCCATGATTTGCGAGGCTTAAAATGCACATGCAACTTTAATTAAGACCGTTTTCAACCGTAGTTTCAGAAAGGTAGACAGCAGCAAGACTAGATTCAGGGGTGGAAAATGGATCGTATATCTTTAACCCGCAGAAGCAGAAAGGCTTTTTTTTTTTTGGTTAGCTAACAATGGAAACTTTTTTTTTAAGTGTTTCCCTTCCTCGGTCTTGCCAAGCAATAGAAAAAAAAAAAAAGAATAAAGAAAGAAAAGAAAAGAAAAACTTGTTCCGCTGAGTTCAACCCCAGACAGGCTCACAACTTCCTTCCTGCTTTCCTCCCCCAAACCCCCGCCTTTCTCTCTCCTCCCTCCTCCCTCCTCCCCCCAAGCTCCCCCGCCCCCCAACACACAACTTTTTTTTTTTTTGATCGCACATTGAACAAACACTAAAGTAGACAAGAGCAGACACTGACAGGGGTAGTATCTCCACGGACCAGAAGGGCAGGCCGGCCGGGCCCCGCGTCGCCGCCGCCCACATCGCGCGGCCCCTGCGCCGTGGAGCGTCCCCCCTCCCTTCTTTCCTACTTATTTTTTTGTCTTCGGTAGCTTAGAGAAGCCATCGCTTCTGGGCTCTTTCTTTAAAAAACAAAACAACAACCAAAAAAACTTTTCATGCTATCTTGGGTCTACGGAGGTTTACGTGCCAAGTCGTCTGCCCAGGGCCCGGGAATCTAAAAAACTGCAGGTAAGTTTGGCGACTTTTTCACGGCTCTCGCGCCAGAACCCACTTGCACCTCGCTCTGCTCAGAGAAAGTGCAGCCGGGTGGGGAGGGGGCTTGCCTAGCCGGCGGCCTGCAGTGGAGGAGCTGGGGAGGAGCGAGCCCTGAGTTGCCCTGGGGCTCCTGCTCGCCGTCAGGGCTGTCGCGTCCGGCGTGCTGCAGGCGCCCCCCGACTGCTGTGCTGCGCCGGGGGACGCTGCCCGAGGTGCAGACTAGTCCAGCGTTCAGGCAGGCCCTCCGCTGGCTTAGAGCGCGCTTCCCCCCCCCCCCCCAGGTGCGCAGAGTCAGGGCTCCTGCTGGGGCAGCAGCCACACGAACCCCGGAATTTCACCGAGTGGGCGCGAGACCCAGAGCCCGCAGAGGCGGCCGTACGCGTACACACACACACACACACGCACACACACACGCACGCACACACGCATACACGCCCCTCCACAAGGGGGTGTGAGGCAGAGACAAATACGTGTTTCAGGTCTGAGGATTTAGCTCAGAGGGGGCGCGCTCAGACCCCTCAGAACCCCTCCAACCCCGCCCAACACACTTGTTTTGGGGACCGGCGTCCAGGCCCCGGTTGAAAAATGTCTCGGCAGCTGTGCGCAGGCCCTGGAACTCAATTACAGGCCAACCAGGGTCTGGAGGGGAAACTGCATGCTAAAGCCCTCCCAGACCCCGGAGCAGGCTGGGGCCAGGGCTGGCAGGTCCAACTGGATTCTCCCCGAATTAGGCCTCTGATGGCCAGAGGGCAGAGCGGAAAGAACCCGAAGCTTCGGGACCAGAACTGCCCCGTTAGAGGGGAGGAGATAGCTAGTATTTGCAAAGGGAGGGGTGGAGAGGAAGTAGGACCCTCAGAGAACGCAGCCACTTTCAACCCGCATACCGCACACTTGTAAAGCAAGTCGTTTTGCGTCGACCCCGCCTGTGCGCGTGGCTCCGGAGACGCATCTTAGAAGCCGCAATTTGAAGGGACCTCCAAGCGCATCACAACCTGGAGGGGGGAGGGGGCGGAAAGGGGACGCAGTCGGGAAACGCACGCCTACAATCGCGTGTGCCACCTGGGCCGCGGCACGGGGCGTCCTGGCCGACCCCACCCTGGAAGTGAGATGTCCGATGACCCTCGATCCGGGGCAAATTGAGGTTCTCTGGCCCGGGGTGGTCCCCTAACCTTCCGCCCCCATCGCTTCCCTGGGGTCCTGACTTTCCCTCCTGTTTCTCCACAGCGGCGCTGTTGTTTATGGAGCTTCGGGCGGGGGCTGAGCTCGCTGCCTCGCCCCCTGCCCGCCGCCCGGGCCATGCCACTCCATCTGCTCGCCGAGCGGCGGCCGGCCGGCCTCGGAGACTGAGCCCCGAGCCGCGCAAGCAGGCGGCGCGGGCGGCGGGCGGCGCGGCGGACCCAGTACTATGGCTGTGTATTGCTATGCCCTCAATAGCCTGGTGATCATGAATAGCGCCAACCAGGCGAAGAGTGGCGACGGTGCCCGGCCCAGAGGGAGCGAGACGCCCCCATCGCCGCCGGGGAGGGTCGTGTTGAGCCCCGGCAGCGTGTTCAGTCCCGGGAGGGGCTCCCCTTTCCTCTTCCCCCCAGCCGAGTCGTTTTCACCCGAGGAGCCCGGGAGCCCCGGGAGCTGGCGAAGTGGCCGGCGCCGGCTGAACAGTGGCAGCGGCAGCGGCGGCAGCAGCAGCAGCGTGGGCAGCCCGAGTTGGGCGGGTCGCCCGAGAGGGGACGGGCAGCAGGTGGTGACCGCCGGTGCCCTCTCCCCTCCGGGACCCGAGGAGGCCAAGAGGAAGCTACGGATCCTGCAGCGCGAGTTGCAGAACGTGCAGGTGAACCAGAAAGTGGACTTGTTCGAGGCGCACATCCAGGCGCAGAGCTCCGCGGCCCTCGCGCCCCGCAGCCCGCGTTTGGGCAGGGCTCGCTCGCCCTCCCCGTGCCCCTTCCGCAGCAGCAGCCAACCCCCAGGAAGGGTCCTGGCTCAGAGCGAGGAACGGAGGACAAAGTCCTGGGGGGAGCAATGTGTAGAGACTTCAGAAGCTGCCTCCGGGAGGACAGCCCGGGCGCCCCGCCTTTGCCTCTCCAAGGACAAGGAGGGAGTGGCGCCTCTCCTGGGTCCGGCCACTCCGTCGGGGCTAAGGGCGCAGGATCCAGCTGTGTCGGTGAGAAGAGAGACGCTGAACACCCCCAGAACCCACTGTGGCTCCCCGATCGCTGTGGAAATTGACAAGAGGGTCGCTCCTGCTTCGGGGACTCCGAGTTGCCGAGCTCACGCCTTAGAGCCCGCTGGACTGTACTTAGCCACGTCCGCAGAAGTGCCCGCAAGAGTCCCATGCCCCAAGCCACCCCGACCGCCCCACTCTGCCCTAGTGGAGTCATCCGAGCTGACCCTAGTACTTGGGGGGACACGGCCCAGGCAGAACTTAGTGGAGAGTCGGGCACAATCTCTGGGCTCAGAGACAAGGCCAGCTCCAGAGAGGGGTGAATCCCATCCGGGTGAGCTCCCGAGGAAGGTGGGGAAAGGAAGTCTACCCACTGTAATGCCTGGCTTGGGAGCACCAGAAGCTGGGGAAAGGCCAAACATCCCCACTGTGAAAGTGCAGGAGCCCTTGGATACCTGGGAAGGGTTCAGACCCCCTGGAGAACTGGGCTTGAGAGATGCCAAGGTAACCCAGAGTGGAGCGCCAGCGCTCAGTGTCTCTCTGCAGCTCTGCGACAGCTTCCAGAAGGGGTCCCCATCTCAGGGCCTGCTTGGGGGCAGCCAGGCAGCACAACCAGGAACCCAGGAAGTGGAGATGGGGATTCCCTCTGGCCTAACGCCCTGCTGGGAAACAGCAAAAGATCTGGAAGAACCTCAGTGCCTTCCCAGGGACAGGATGGATGTGCAGCCTGGAAGTGCCAAGGCTTGGCTAGGTCCTACGGAGAAAGCCAGTCTGACCTGGACATGTGGCTCAGGGCTGAAGTCGGAGGGGACATGGGAAGGCCAGCAACAGGACGGAGATGCACACCCTGGCCCAGAGCTGCTCTCTGCAGATGGGAAGGACCAGTGTGCTCTGAGCGAGGCTCGCAGCCCCAGCAATATACCTGCTGTCATCATTACAGACATGGGTGCCCCAGAGGAGGAGGCACAAGGCCCCCCTCCGGGCAGCCTGCCCCTGAGGAAACTGTCTTCTTCCTCTGCCTCCTCCACTGGCTTCTCCTCTTCCTATGAGGACTCGGAGGAAGACATCTCCAGTGATCCTGAGCGTTGCCTGGACCCCAACTCAGCCTTCTTGCATACTCTGGACCAGCAGAAGCCCAGAGTGGTAAGTCTTGCCCCGAGAATTCTTGAGAACTCATGCTACTTTCATGTCCCCTGTTTTGCTTTTTACTGAATTCAGAAGACATGACTGGGGCTGGGAAGTGGCGGTGGGGGACTGTCAGAAATAAGAATTCTGCTCAGGTGTATTTGCTGGGGAGATGCTCGGGCAGTGGCGGTGGACTTGATAAAAAGCTATGAATTCAGCCACTTCAGAAAACTATTCGGTGGTAATGGTAGGTCAGGGGGGTAAACCAGAGATCAAACCCAGGACCTCATACTTGAGAAGTATGTGCCCTATCACTGTATGACCTCCCTGGACATCTTAAAAGAAAACAAACTTTTTTTATTCTTTTGAAGATACCTTGGGTAGGGAGGTTACCACTCACTTCTTGTAAAGATAATATTCATGAGTTTTCACAAACATTTCCTGTTTCATCCCTGAGAATAGTGAACGCAGCTGCTGGAGTAGCTTTTGTCTGATCAGGTGAGTCACTTAACTCTGTGATTCATTGAGGTGGAGGAAAATTGACAATACATTCACTCAGCTTCTACTCATAGACTAGGAATCCCTTACAGGGAGCCAGAGCACGTATATGTATTTGTGGCTGGCTATTGGGAGAGGAAGCAAGGAGTTTCTATAAGTTAAGTGAGGACATTGCATTATTTATGGGGCCACCTTTAACCATGGTGTGTTGTTAAAGTGCATTTTTGGTGTGTTGAATGAATCTGAAAGCCACACTGTGAGTGAAGCAGATGGGTTCTTTATTAACAGAATGTTCTACCTGGTTCAGTTGCCAAAAACAGGCAACTAGGTGATATTTCTAGGATAGCTCCTTTACTGTATGCTTGTTGTCTGGTATAGGTACCTTTTCTTCTTTTCTTTTTATATTTTCATTTATTAATCTGTTGATTCTTCTTTTGTTGTGATGAATAGGGGTTTGTTGTTGTGATGAATGGGGGTTGTACACATACATGTGGTTGTGGTGTTTGCCCACTTGGCTGCTGTATTCTTGGGAATGTTCATTTTGTGTTTCTGTGTTGGTACACATGCTCACCAGGGATTGAACTCTAGCTCTGGTGGTGTGCCAGAGAGCACACACTCTTATTGAGGATGAGGGTTTCCAGGCAGTAGAATCAGACAGAACTCAGTACTTGTGGGTAGCAGCAAGGATCAAACTTAAGGTCTTATGCGTGCAAGACAGGTAATTTTGCCACCCAGACATCCCCAGGCCGCAGGTACATTTTCAAGTGTGTCTGTTTTGATTCATCATAATGACATCTTGGCCATAGATAGTTTATTTCTGTGACATGGTTAATCTCAGTCTTAGGCTCTTTTCACTTTTAGGGGGATGAAAGTATCTTACAGGAGACATATGAATTGAAGCCAACTCTTCTGGAAAGGTCTGGACTTTCTCTTAGCTTTCTCCGAGGGAATTCTCGGAAGGGATTTCCTTGTACAGCGAGATGGGTTCTGAAGTTGCCTTCGGGAAAAGTCTGTATTTGATTGTTGTCTGTAACCCTCCTATCTCATGTTGAAACTCAAAGGCTGCTTATTGTATCTCCCTAAGCCACAGCAACAGAGACCTTCATATTTCTGCTCTATTTATATTTTTATTTCCACTGTCTTCTCTAAGGACTCCAAAGTATGTTTCTCTCTTGACTCTCCCTTTGGAAATCACAGTCAGGATTTTTGAGGACCATTTGCATTTGCTTACGGTGAAACTCCACTTTCTGCTGATGATCAGTAGGCAAATGTATGCAAAATTGGGGGCCCTATAAGCCTGGCATTTTGTGGCTAGGAAGGACGTCAGGCATGGGCACACTGCCTTTAAAGGAGGAACAGTCCACTGGGAAGGGGACAGTGTAAAGGGCAGGTGGAAAATGCTTCTCATCGAAGGCGTGGCCCCTATTCCCCGGCATTATTGCTCACACTTAAAGGCCTGCTGAGTGACAGGCCTCTGTTCCCTCTATCTGTTTGCTTTTTAAACCCCAAAGCTGCTTCGACACAGCCCAAGTTGCTTTAACTTGTTCTTCAATTTTCCATTTGCCCTTTCTAGTGGTGGATTAGCAGTTCTTATTGGCTGGTTCTCAAAACGATTTGTATGTCTTGATTTTTTTTCTGAATAGGCCTCTTGTCTGGAAGTGAGTTAAAAAGGAGATAAATAATGACGGGTGATAATTCCTTTCATTTGCCATAGGGATACCAACTGAGAAACCAATCAGTTGAGTGGATCCTTGAATTAACTATTAGGTCCAGAGGTAGCAGTGAAAGTGCCTGTTGTCCAGCCTTCCTTCCACCTTTGGACAGGTTTTCAGACTTGCACATAGCAGAAGCCAGGGAAAACTCCCCCACCAGCGTGGCTCTAAATCACCTGGGGCTGCTCTCCAAGTGTTTTGGGGTGGGGGTGAGGTGTAACCAACTGTCAATTATAGGATCATTGGAACTTTTGAGCTTTTGTTTAGTGCTTATTTTACAAACTATGTTTTCTTTTTCTGGTCCATTTATAATAGTGGGGCCTTTTCTGTGACACTAACAGATCTGCTCACTGGGACAAAATCACTTGATTACCTGATACCGATGTTTTCTCTACATAAGACCAGTGATCTTGATTGATTGGGTTGTTTCTGGACTTTTCAGTGCTTTTACAGTTAAAATCTGAACCAGCACTGCCTGATGCTTAACAATTCAGCTTCTTTCTCATAGCTGCTTCCGTCTGGTTTGCTGCCTCATACCACAGTTATACTCCCTTTACACGCCCACCTCACCCTCACACAGCTTGCTCACATTCACTCGCAGACCCTCACACACACCACCTCACTCTCACACAACATGCTCACGTTCACTCTACACCCTCACACATGCCACCTCACCCCCACACAACATGCTCATATTCACTCACACACCTGCACACATGCCACCTCACCCCCACACAACATGCTCATATTCACTCACACACCCACACACATGCCACCTCACCCCCACACAACATGCTCATATTCACTCAAATACCCTCACGCATGCCACCTCACCCCCACATGACATGCTCATATTCACTCACATACCCTCACACACGCCACTTCACCCCCACACACCATGCTCACGTTCAGTCACACACCCTCACACACACTACCTCTTCCTCATAGATGTTCACATTTTTTCTCTCTTATACACACACACACACACACACACACACCGCCACCACCACCACCACCTCACCGCCTCACCCTCACACAGCATGCTCACATTCACTCACGTTCTCACACATTCCCACACCCCCTCATGTTTACTCACTGTGCCAGCCCTCACCCTCACACACATGGTCATGCGGACATTTACTTTCACTTGCATGTGTTTACCTTCACATGTGCACATGTATTCACACAGTCTCACACACATTGGATGTTCAGCCTAGTCACGTAGCCAACCTCTGGTACTCAGGCCCACTGAGAATACATCATCTGTTTTCTGTGTGGCTCTGAGTTTCCTCAGAGGGTGGTCTGGCCTCACAGGCCTCCTGCTATCCATCCCTGACTCCTGCTGAGAGAGGCTGTGAGAGAAGCCTGCAGGCAGCTTTGTTGTCTGCTCTCAGCTGCTCCTCACAGGTTGGAAATCCCAAGATTCAGTGTCTGAGGAGTTCAGAAGAACTCCCTGTATATAAAACAAAATGAAAAAACAAGTTGTTTGGAAATACCTTCTCCTATTATTAACCATGTATAATATGCAAATGAGCAGAGGCCTTTTTACTGGAGGGAATAGGGTGGGAACTCAGACTCTACTCCTTTGCTTCCTTGGGCAGAAGCTGGAAAGTCAGCCCACAGACAATGCAAAGTGCTTCAGGCCTTTCCTACTTCTGGCTTCCCACAGCCTGACAGATGCGGCTGGCCCTCAAAGACGATCTCCCAAGTTTTGGAAATTGCGTATCTGTTTATAAAGGATCTGACACTTGAAATTGGTTCAGTGGTTATTGTCTTATGTGCCTTGTGTTCATTTGCTGGAGTTCAGTCCTGTTTAGCTCACTGTTCTCTGAGAGGCCAAGAGAAGTGAACAGTACTGAGCAATGACGGTGTTCTTTGTTGTTCTTGAATACAGCTAAAAGATGACAGCACTTTAACTTTCTTCTGTTAATCCATTTAAAAGTTCAGGGCAATTCAGACACCAAGCTTCAAGTGCTTTATAAAATTATGTGTGTATCTTATGTGAAAAAGTAGGGTTATTTTACCGATTAAGAAAATTGTGTTACCAGTTTTATGTATAAATCCCAAGCACTGACTTAGTTAGCTGGGGAATAAATAATTATAATACAGGAGACGAGAGATAGTCCAGCAGATATGATACTTGCTCTCATGCAGCTCACCTGGGTTCAATTCCTGGCATCCCAAATGGTCCCCTGAGCCCCACCCAGAGTGATCCCTGAGTGCAGAGTCAGGAGTAAACCCTAAGCACTGCTGAGTATGGCGCAAAGCATGCACTCCAGCACATTAAGCCATCTCCTTGACCCAGTGCTTATTACATTTGAAGTGCCACTGGTATTTTGTGTTGATTAGTTTTGTTATCCTTTTTTTTGTTTGTTTTTGTGAAAAACTCCTGTATACAGAGTAAAAAAACTCAAACTGTTTAAAATAGTTTCATGGGGCAGGAACAATAATACACTAGATAGGGTGTTTGCCTTGCACATGACCCTTCCAAATTCAATCCCTGACTTCCCATATGGTCTGCGGAACACTGCCAAGAGTAATTCCTGAGCACAGAGCCAGAATGTGAGTGTTGATGGGTGTGACCCCAAAATTAATAAATAAATAAAATAGTTTTATGTTGGGCCTAGAGATATTACAATGTATAATTCACTTGCCTTGCAAGCAGCTGACCCTGATTTAATCCCTCAGACTCTTGAGCATTGCCAGGAATGACCCCCTGACCCCCTGACAGAACTAGGGATAGGTCCTAAGCACAGTTGTATGTTCATCCAACTCCACCCCTCCCAAATAAATAAGTTTTATGTGGTT